TCGACATCGATGTACATAGCAAGCATATTGGCGGTGGTCTTATTGAGATGCTCAGGGAGGCCATTGGTCTGTGAATGGTAGGCAGTGGTCTGGCGGTGACTTGTCTGGCTGTACCTCAGGATGGCCCAAGTTAGGTCCTTCGTAAAGGCTGTACTATTTATAAGGGGATAGCCACCATGAGAAGGACACAAAAAAGAAAGACACACACACACACAGGGCTAGCTTGCAACTCTTCAGCGCTGTGTGTGTGTGCGTCTCTTTCTTGTGTCCTTGTCGTGGTGCGCTATACCCTTGTAAATGATGAACCTCAACCAACTAGCCCGGCTATGTGTCATAGTAAAGGCTGTACCTCTGTCAATATTGAAAACCTGTGAAGCGCTGTATGGCCGGACGATGTTCCCGACGAAGAACTTTGCTACCTTGATGGCACTGCCTTTGGGCAGGGCCCTTGTCTCGACGTAGCGCATGAGGTAGTTGGTGGCTACGACGATCCATTTGTTCCCGTAACTCGACGTCGGGAACGGCCCCAGTAAGTCCATGCCGATTTGCTGGATTTGCTGAGGTGGCTCGATGGGTTGAAGAAGTCCGGCTGGCCTGATCGGCGGTGTCTTTCGTCATTGGCAGTCCGGGCATGTCTTTCAACGAGTGACGTTGGTAAAAAGACGTGGCCAGTGTTACTTCTCCTGTGTTCTTGCAAGCATACAAGAAACATCGAGCCGTCGGTTCGTCGTGTAGAGTGTCCAAAACTTCCGGGCATTATGCTGAAGGTACTATGACGAGTTAGTTGGCCCGAAGTGGCCAGAAGTTTTTTTTGAGGAGGACATCGTTTGGCAAGAAAAATGACTCAACTCCCCGTTTGAATACTTTCGAAACAGCGGCGGCCTTGCCCTCGAGGTATTCTGCAAGGCTCTTGAGTCAGCTCTCTGTCGCTCGACGAAGTCGTTGGCACTTATGGTTGCTAAGAAAGAATCATCGTTCGGGTTGTTCTTTAGCGGTGGTTCAACTGTGGCACGAGACAAGCAGTCGGTGTCGGAATGTTTTTTTTTGGACTTGTAAAGGAGGGCAAAGTCAAATTCCTGAAGTCTCAGGCTCCACCGTGCGAGGCGATCTGAAGGGTCTTTCAAGTTAGCTCGCCAACACAAGGCGTGGTGTCACTCACAACTATGAAGGGCCTGCCACAAAGATAGGGGCGGAACTTCGATGTAGACCAGATGATTGCAAGGCATTCCTTTTCTGTTGTAGAATAGTTGGCTTCTGCCTTTGATAGCGACCGGCTAGCATAACTGATGACTTTTTCCAGCTCATTAGTCCTCTGCACAAAAACGGTACCGAGTCCTACACTGCTTGCGTCGGTGTGTATTTCTGTCTTGGAAAATTCGTCGAAAGGCACGAGTAGCAGAGGCATCTGCAGGCGTCGTTTCAGTTCCTGAAATGCTTCCTCTTGTGGCGTTTCCTACCTAAACTCTACGTCGGTCTTAGTAAGGTTAGTGAGTGGCTCTGCAATACGGGCGAAGTTTTCGACGAACCGCCTGTAATAGGCACATAGGCCAAGAAGTCGATGCACGGCCTTCTTGTCGGTAGGTGGCGGGAAGGTGGTGATGGAAGCTGTTTTCTGCGGATCGGGGCGAACACCAGACTTGCTGATGACGTGGCCCAAGAACAAGAGCTCCACGTATGCAAAGCGGCACTTGTCGACCTTGAGGGTGAGTCCGGAGTTCTTGATTCCTTGAGTACAGCTTCAAGGCGCCAAAGGTGTTCGTCGAAGTTTGAGGAAAACACCACATTGTCGTCCAGGTACACAAGGCAAGTCTGCAACTTCAAGCCGGCCAGTAATGAATTCATAACACGTTGAAAAGTTGCGGGGGCCGAGCAAAGACCAAAGGGCATAACCTTAAACTCGAAGAGGCAGTACGGTGTAATAAAGGTAGTTTTTTCTCGGTCTCTCACGTCGACTTCAATCTGTCAATAGCCAGTCTTGTGGTCCATCGAAGAAAAGTACCTCGCATTGTGAAGTCTATCCAGGGTGTCATCTATTTGGGGGAGAGGATACACGTCCTTCTTTGTGATCTTGTTCAGACGGCGATAGTCAGTCGACGCAGAAGCACAGGGTTCCGTCCTTCTTCTTGACTAACATAACAAGTGACACCTATGGACTCTTTGAAAGCTAGAAAATGTCGTCGCGTAGCATTTCGTCGACTTGCTTCTTTACGGCGTCGCATTTTTGCGTCGACTCTCTGTATGGGCTCTGATAGAGTGGTCTGGAACTTTCCTCTGTTATGATGCAATGCTTTGCGATTGGGGTTTGTCGAATTTTCGACCAAGATGAAAGACACTACTTCTATTGTCGAAGCATAGTTTCGAGCTGTTCTTGCTTATGCGATGGAAGGCTCGCACTAACGTTGAAAGCTAGTTAACAAGCTTGGTCGTCGTAGGAGCTTCGGTAGACTCGGCGAGGGCAAAAGCATTGCCGGCTTCTACCATGTCTTTGATGTAGGCAACCGTGGTGCCTTTGCTCATGTGCTTGTATTCATTGCTGAAGTTTGAAGCATCACTATTGCTTTTCCTTTCGCAGCTCGGCTATTCCCCTGGCGACACAAACCTCGCGGTTGATCTACAGGTACTGGTCGCCTTCAAGGACGCCTTGCATATTTGTTGATATCTGTGTGCCGACAGAAACTCTGACGCTAGAGTGGGGGGGATAATGTTTGTGTGTATATAGCTAGTGCATAATTAAGAAAAACCTTTCATGTGAACAAAGTACCCTCACAGCCTACTTGGAGGCCTGTCTTTTTTTCTGCGGGAGCTTTGCTGCAAATGAATTCTAAAAAAATTAAGTCTGTGTGGCTTTCAAGAACAATCGAACCTTTGTTATCAACATATATCAAGGCTATGAAGTACAGAACTCACAGTCTGCAGCTGCAATTGTGAAAGTGTATACGTATTCTTACAAGATTTCAGTGTTCTATGCCCTTCTGCCGTCAAGTGGCAGCAACTGCTTCTTTATGGGTTTATTAAATTAAGTTATTAGTAACAAACCCAACTCGCATGTCTTTATAGCAATGTTATTCTAGTAACTGCAATACGTACATACAGACAAGCACAAGAGAAGAATAAACTAGTGTAGCACATAAGGTGTACAGGCACTAACCACGTGCTCATCTTAAATCGGTTAATAGCAAGGAATATGGGAGCAAATGAAGAGCTGGAAACATGCCACGTTTAAGCAGGACTTATACAAATGATGGACAATAGCTAATGCGTGCTAAGAAGAGATAAATGTCTGATATGAGACGTAAAGAACAGATATGTAACACGTGGCTTTATCTGTGCCGGGCGAGTAAGCCTGGTTGCTGCTGCCTGCCGTGGCAATCTCTGCCATAAACAGTGTGGGCTTGTGCTGCATTTCGGTGTTTCTTGTAGAAAAATCATTCTTTGTTACTTCATATGTTGCTGTTGATGTCCACACGGGTGAACTTAAAAAAAAAAAATCTGCCTTCTGCCGCTCGTAGACTGACTCAGCGTACATACGTGCGACACGACACGAACACCCTCCTTTCCCGTGCTCATTTCTAAGTGCGCACCACTGTTCAAGTAGGTTTCGGGACAATAGGCACAATGGCGCGCGTTTTCTCCCAACACGGTTAGCATGACATGTACTTTCAAGGAATTTGAGCAACATCGGTGCACTGCTTGTTGAGAAGCGTCGAGGCTGGCACATGGAAGTTTGCCTACATGATGACTGCTAAGACGTGCTCGATATGCATTTTCGTTAGTTACCATGTGATAATAATAACACTAAATACATTCTTTCTTATGACCATTTTGCCTCGGGAAGCAAAATTATTTGGCCTCGTGGGATCAAATGCGTGTGCGAAAATTTGAATAAGTTTTATGAAATTTTACTTTTTGATGAAATTTTACAAGATTGTCACCCGGGATTATGCAGATCTCCATTTATTTTAACTAAATATCCTTGGCATGTTATATGAATAGCGAGACAATGTTTAAAACTCAATGTCCAGTCTGACATCCAGTTCGGACGTCCATTGAAAAGCCATACGGGATATGAATTTTTACAGTTTGTTCACCGGCTATCCGTGTTGGATATTCATGCGGCCAGACGTTTGTTTTCAGAATGGACGTCCAGTGGATATCTTTGGTTACTTGGGTCATGACCAGTCATTCATGTTAACCATACGTTCCTATTATGCAATGTAAGTTTCGGTGCACATCACGTCAATAAAGCCACCGTAAGTGCTCCATGACCAGGTCCTGTATGTCATAGCCTGCATGACATGCATGACATGGTTTTTGTGTTATGACTAGTCATGTATATTTTCCTTATACTCTTGTCATACCATGTCAATTTCGGTATACATTAGGTTGACCAAACGGTCATTACAGCTCTTTGACCATGTCACGTATGTCATGATGTACATTAAAGGCAGTCGTAATTTTCATATAATGAGCAGTCATTTATTTTTTTCACATGCTCTTTTCATGCGATGTCAGTTTTAGTACTTGTCAACCTAATAATTGGCCGCAAGAACATGGGGACCAATGCAGCCAGTGAGATAGAAACACTCTAAATTTCACTATTAAATGCTCCGTGAGCAATAATTATGACAGAATCTTTCGTGCAAACATATGTGCAAGCCCTCCTGCCAGAAAAGATAAACTGAGCCAAATTACTGCACATTTAGCTAAAAGTGATTCCTTTCTGCATGCCAGGCAATGCCAGCTAACGCGAACGGTGAAACCAATATGGTGTCCTCGAAAGCAGTGTCTCCACCCTGTTCAGGAGGAGCACATTAAGGCACCCTAATTTTAGGCGTGCCACGTAAACTTTAGCTGCGCCACCTGGGCAGCGCTGGCTTCCCATAGTCTATGTTAACACCTAAGGTAATTCCTGACCCAAGCATAGCTACTAACACCTAAGTATATACCTTCTACCCAAGCTTCCTGGAATTGTCTAATACCCCCACTTTCATTCTTTTCAGAAAACCCGTGGAGTCGGTCAGTTGAGCTAGAAGGATCCCACGACTCTGGCGTCACCAGTGCATCATCCAGTTCTTTCTGGGGCACTCCATTGCGGGCGCCATCATGTTCCTCCTCTTCATCTTCTACATGCTCGTCCACTTCCTCTTCCTCCTCGTCTCTGGCGGCTCATGCCGGCATATACGGCAGCGAGTGCGGCATCACCAGCTTCTCTTCGTCACGAGCACTGCCACGTGCCCAATCTTGCCCCGTCATGCTGGGCAGCTGGCTGCGCAGGGCCTCGAGCCTCGACGAGTTTCCCCTCTGTTCCTCGTCACACGCGGCTGCGCTATCACGACCACGCAACCGCTACAGTTGTGGCAGCCTGGAGGCCGTGCTCGGTGAAGGGGGCATTTCGGTGGCCGCCATCTCGGTGTCCTCACTGCGTGAAGCCACCGTTCGGCGCCAGACGCCGTACTCGCGCCGCTCAGCCAGCCTCATCCCGGTCTCGTGACGGCGGCCCGCACCGCGACCGCTAAGCCTAACGATGGCTGTGGCAGTGTCGCAGCGAAGCCTCGCCAGTGACGTGGCCGAACTGCTGCTGGCGGCTGCAGCCGCCGCGTTCGCCTGGGCACTTATGGGACTTGCGGCTCTTATCTAATCGGCACCATCCGTGGAAAAAAAGGGGGGAGTGGTTGCAGAAAACGAGAAGTGGAGTGGACGGTTACAGGTCGCCAGAAAACCAGTCCTTGTGTGGACAGTCACAGACAACTTGAATCAAGGGCATACTTGTATGTTGGGACCGGATTTCTGGTCAGCGGAGTCATAAACTCTGTTGCCTCTGTGCAAATGAAAATGACTGATTGGTGCTGTACTCTTCTGCCATGTGGATTATCGCGTGATAACAAGTTAAACCGGCGCATGTTGCAAGGCCAAAGTCAAAACGCAGTGATAGTGTGCTCGCTGCAGGGTCCCATGGTGAAGAGACACTTCTTTGTTCAGCCACTGCTGTGGTGTTGCAGCAGCCCTATTTGCCCAGAATGCTAATAGTTTCTGCCTGGCTATACCAGAAGACTCTGAGGGACAGTTCCTTGACCTCATACTTATTGCTCTGCAACAGCTGCCCCATAACTTGGAATGCCTGCTTTCCCGATGTCCTAACCACATATTCTTCTGCTGTGGCTTCTCTGCAGCTTCTTGAGAATTGCTGACCAGTCGAAACCTTATCCATCTAAAGCACGCCAGAATATTTCAATTTGATGCCCGCAACTTGAGGGCATAATGTAAAGTGACACGACTTAAAGAGACCACCCCTTGCACCAAATATTGTTCTTGTCATGTATGTGGCATGGCATTAGGCTTGCAAACTTCATATATTGATACATAAGACTGAGCCTAACGATATTAGAGCAACATTGATCAGGGATAAGTGCTTCTTCTCAATAGTGTATTGTATTTTTGACTGCTTTGATGAGATGATTGCCCATAAAAAGGATAGCTCATGATGGCTATGCAAGTTTGTGCTAGAAAAGTGCTGTGACGGTTGCCACTAAATCCAAAGAACTAGTGGTCTGCAAGTATAAATCTTAAAATCGTAAGGTAAATATCCACGTCTATCATAAGGATACTGCTGCAATATGAATGGGCTAGCCTGCAGTGCAACACAAGGGATCCCTTTTGATGATATTGCCTTTTTCTGAATACCTTGCTCCATCTGAGTTGTGCCCCTAAAAGTTTTCCTATTGGCACAAAGTAGGCTTTGGGAGCCTCTCTTCTTGCACTTTGGCTTCTCTGGAATAGCCTACTGAGCCACTCTTACCAGTGGGCTCGACGAGACACGAATAGGGCATATTTGATCAGATGTGGCATTCCACAAAACGAAATTCTCTCTAGCAAAAGTTTCAATGCCGAGAGTACGTGTTGGTCTAGATCTGGGCCTGCTATCTATTTGCTGTTGATGTCTTTCTAGGCACACAATATTTCTCTCCCTGACCAAGTGAATGCCATTCGTACTTTTGCCTACTCTTCCCGTTCCCATGGTGGCAGCACAGGAGGGGCAGCCTTTAAGGAATCACAGGCATGTGTGGCATGTATGTCGAGACACATTTTATGGATGTCTCTATGAATGCATCGCTCTCGCTTTTTTTATGCGTGCCTATTCTCCTGTTTTGTAAACATTGTCTCGTCAGATGAACAAGTGGTTTTCATCTTTAGTGTGACTGGGGTGCACTAAGAAGGCCTCTTTTACTGCTGCTCCAAAGACGTCTTGCCAAAGCTGCAGTGGCTCTTGGCTTACCTGATGGGGGATAGTGTTCACACTTCCCCGACAATGTACAAATCGTTCTTCCTTATCTTCACCAAATAAACTTTTTTGTTTGTTCGTAGCATGTAGCGCACTTGTTTTCTGTCATGGCATTTGCCTTATCAAGACAGCAGGCTTCTGTAGTGCTAGCATGTAGAGATCTATCCCCGAGTGGTATTTATTGAAGAAAAAAATAAGAAACTAGTCGAGCAAGCTTAGGAGCATCTTAGACCAAGCTGCAATCTGTCTTCCTATATATAGTTACACTCCGCACCCACCGAGGGAGTGGTGTGTTTTTCCTTTTGTTCTCATCTTTCTTGTTGTTGTTTTTGTTAGTGAAAGATTGCACACATTGTCATTATGTATATTGCATGTGTGTGCACATTGAGAATGTTCTGTGCTTATCGAGTCTGCGACGGCCAGTTCTTTTATGTGATTTTAATGTCGGGCGCAAGTTAGGCTGCAAAAAGTTGTAAATGCTTTGAAATGCGCCAACGTCACAGCCAGGGCATTGAGTCAAGCAGCAGCACTTGGCTGATATAGGCAAACATAAAATTTATTTTTATTTTTATGTTTGGGAAACCTATAAACAGAGCCCACCAGCTGCCAGAGTTCTGTGAAACAAATCCAACTTCAAAAAGCTTCAGCTGCAAGCTTTTCCTGTCCATGGGACAAAAATGTGCAAAGCAGAGAAAGTATTAAACATAGTGCTTAATTTTTTTTTTAATTTTGCCTGCGTGTGACATCTTCATCGTTTTTGTCTTTAATTCCAATGTTGTGTAAAATATCTACATATTTGTCAGTAATGTCAACTATGGCTGTTAGTATGGTGTGTTGCAAATAACCTCTATGCCCTGCCACACCAGTCACTTTTTAGCATTTTGCGTGACTCTGTTTTGTTGATTGATTGATTTGTGGGGTGTAATGTTCCAAAACCACCGTATGATTATGAGAGACGCCGTAGTAGAGGGCTCCGGAAATTTTCACCACCTGGGGTTCTTTAACGTGCACTCAAATCTGAGCACACGAGCCTACAACATTTCTGCCTCCATCGGAAATGCAGCCGCCGCAGCCGGGATTCGATCCCGCGGCCTGCGGGTCAGCAGCCGAGTACCTTAGTCACTAGACCACCGCGGCGGGGCGGCTCTGTTTTGTGCTAACCACTGATGCATCGATTCAGGCACATTTACCGAAACTGCGAGCTTTTCATAGGTACAGTGCACAACCATGGTTGTATATATTCTCCGGTGTATTTTTAAATAAGGGTGTCATAACACACAACACAAATATATTAGAGACACATAGCAAGAAAGGTGCAATTAGTTTGCCCTCACTGATTACCTCTTCAACTTTTCATGCAAATGCATTTTATTGTACAAAGGGAATCACAGCCTACACTGTTAATGAAAATCTGCAACAGTTTATTAAGATTTGTTAAATGTACACAAGCGTACAGCTTGTCTTTTATGTTTGGCAAACGTTGTACCTCTTGGTAATTCCTGACCCACTTTGTTTAGGTTTTCAGAATATATTAGCCTTTCAAACAAATTTGTGAGAAAAATAAATTGTGTGGTTTTGCTATTTTTGAAAGTATTGCTTTTAGTTCTTGTTTTGCTGCCATTGCAAGTGGTAAACGTTCACGTAAGCTTCTTGTCTGCAGGGTTTGCAGTGTGCTCACCTATAAAACCATTCTTGTCTCTCTCTCTCTGTATGTGCTGCAGTTGAACAGAATAAAATGAACTGCTTTAGTTGCAGGAACCAGTAGTTTGCCACGTGAGTAGCGATAACACTGTTATCTGCATCAGACAGGTTAGTGCTTTGATAGGCGAGCTAGCTGGTACATGATAAGCAGAACACAAAATCAGGCACTCGTCTCTATTGTCCTGTCTAATCTCGCACTTTAATTGTTTTATTTGCAGACAGTTCAACACTACATTTCTTACCATCGAGAGTGACGGACAGTAAAACTGCGTGAGACTTGATTATACATATCTACCTAGAATGCTGCAGCTTGTTAGCATTTTGTACATCCATTGGAAGCAAAATGGGCTCTTTGATTTAACAGTGGTGAGCTTAAGTTATAGTAGTACTTGTGCGAAAAGCATGATGATTAGGCTCAATACGCAATAAAGAAACACGTAATGTGTAAAAAATGTGGGTGAACGTACTTGATTCATCACCACCAGTGTAAAAGATAAAAGTTCCAAGTTCTTAGTGTGTACCACTAATCAGTTCTGCATTATATTCATTTGAGCGTCGATGCTCATGCAACGCATGCACGAGAAAAATATCTGACACATTTTCTATGTTATTTCTTGGTGTAATGTATTGCTTCTTGCGTCCCCAACTGAATGATTGGACACTTTCAAGTGAAGAAGCATGGCTGACAGAACTGTGAATGTGTTACTGTAGGCAACATCTGCTGTGCTTCGCACTTTTTCTTGCTTGTTGCACTTATTGTAGCAGTGCCATCTATGAACCGTGACGCCAGTCTTCCTTTGTTAGACGTATGGTCGGACGACACCCGTGCAATGTGTGCTTAAGACCTAAGCGTGCCCTACACAGGCAGCGTACTACGCATGGTACTCCTTGTGTGCAATCAAAGCTATTGCGGACGAGGGGAAGGGTCGCCTTGGTCATGTCGTGAAACATTTTCCTCATAGTGTGTGCATTATTTACACCTCTGGTCAAGTTTTTCTTCCTCCATTGCACATACACGCAATGTTTGCCTAGTGCCTTGTCATGTGTGTCCACTGACCTTGTATAGCGCTAACTGCCATCGGTGTCTGTATTGTGCACACTGTATGGAATGTGAAGTGTGCATCGCTCCCTCATTCCCTCTGTAAGCATGTGGCGCTTGTAGTGTTGATGTCTGTATGGGAATCACAAAAAGAACAAGCATATCAACCCTCAAAATATTTTCTGAACTTTGATTTGACATGTCGTGGGTGGGCACATTTGGCTGTCGATGCATTGCCGAGTGTAGCTAATGATAAACGTACATGGTATACAGAAGCCGGCTGTTAACGGTCTGCGGCACTTGGCAGCTGCATCACACGTCCAGTCAGTCATGAAGTACTGGCCTGGCGAGCCCATGGTGATATTTATCTCTGCGCTGTCTACTGACAAGCTGCTGTTGTCGAGAGTGCTGCTATTGTGATTGCATGGCCACAGCCACCTCATACAACTTTTGATATATATATATATACATACGCGCGTCAATACGCGTCATACGATCGTCAATATATATATATTATATATACATGAAATCCCCAGATACAACTTTAAAAGTTCGGTGCATTTTCTCCTCAAAGGTTAGTCCACAAAAGTCTGCACCAGTGGTGGGCGTGCAATCCAGAGTGACTCCGCCTTCGAAGAACATTGCCGAAAGCAAGCCTTTTCTAGTCTCAGCTGCCTTGTTTCGGCCTCTTAAGCAGAGCCTTTCCGGACTTCTGATGTTGTATCCAACTGAAAAGATGCCCGCTGCGTGAGCCGAAAAGCTGGTTCGCAGCCCGCTTCTTCTCTCCACAGTATGACTGCCAGCTGCGAGCTCTTGTTTCGGCGGCCCTTCGAAACCTTTATGCCTCCAAGAACGCATCAATATCCAGAAGGCAGCGTCCGTCGTCCGCCCTAAATGCTGCGCCAACAGTTATGATGGCGTCAATGCTATCATAAGCATGCACAGGGTTCCCCGATGTGGAGGAGAGGTGAATTTTCGTCGGAGCACTCCCCTCCCTATCATGTCAATGGGGCTAACTTTACACCCCCCTTCCTATAATATGTCAATGTATGGAGCCGACTTTGTGCCCCCCTCTCGATGCGCAAGCCTATCGATTCTATCGTAAGTAATGACGGCTTGCGCACTTCGTGTGGAAACTGCTCAGAATTACGAGGAACAGCCCTCTACAAATGAAAGGAGTGACGTCGTAGGCATCTTTCTTAGTAAATCTAGGCTACCGACAGCAGATGGTTTGCCGCTAATGTCGAAGACTGCAATTTCGCAACATGTTCCCGTGGTCCGTAATATTTTTTCGGCCGCCTGTACATTGCTTTTGCAGTTGCCTTTTGTGATATGCCATATTCTTATATGCATTGGTCACCTTTCGTACCTGGCTGATAGTATAGCTGGGAGATCTTTCATGTGTCGTGAGCAAGTGACAAAGCTGCAGTTCTTTTTTTTTCCGTTGAACTACAGGAGAGCTGTGCTTGTGTTGGACATGTTACTGATCGCTTATGTGAGAAATAAAGAACTCGTGGCTTCCCTGAGTGTCTTGTTTTTAAAGCGCCACTTGTTTCACGCGAGCAACTGACGATGAGCGGCAGCAGGACGCGCGGAGGCGGGTTCGCTTCTCTAGAGTGGCCTAAAATAGGGGAGTGTCCAAAGCTCCAGATCCCGAATGGGCCTTTTGCGGTGAACTACTGTGCCGGACCTGTGTAGATCTGGGGCAGCAGCGTCATACCCACCTGGGTCCGCACCAGGGTGCAGACTGTGCGAGACCCACATGGCACCGCTCCTATGTGCAGGCTGTGCGAGGCACTGAAGGCGATCGTGCAGAGCATGAAGGCTAGCATTGAGGGGCTGCAAAGGGAGCCAAGGGCGGAACGAGAGCAGAGGATGGAGCTGCAGAAAGAGCTCGTAGCGTAGCGTAAAATTTTAAGAACATTTGACCCTTGTAGTACATCGCTGAGGTCTCTGTCTAACTTAGCTAAGTACAAATTGCTTAAAACCGAAGTGAGACAGGAACCAATACACACACCATTATTCTGAAGATATGCTGATCAATTTGTACAAGGGTCAAATGTTTTTGAAATTTTTCGTTTTGTAGACAATTTGATTTCATTTGTTGACAGCTTAACCAAACAGTTTGAGGAAGTGTGTTCCAGCATCCAAGTCGCTGTTCAAAAGAGCCTTGAACCCCTTGAAGTGTCCTTTGAAATGCCTTGTGACAATGTGATTCGGTTTTTAGATGTCTGATTCGTTTTCAATGATGATCAGACATGCTGGTATTATCACCCTCGTGCTAACAAACCTATACTGCCATATAACTCGGCGCACTCCAAGCTGGTCAAGCGAGGGATTGTTAAGATGTGCCTTACTAACACCTTGAAGAAGTCCAGCCAGCATTGTTTGCCTTTAAGCATGAGAGAGCAAACAAAACGTTTAGCTGACTCGGGGTACCCACAACACGCCCTGACTGTCGCGGAAAGCCTTCTGAGGCAAATTCACTCCGACGGAGCCACGGAAACGCGTGCTACGCCTGCAAGGAAAGGATTAGCTGTAATCCCATATATTCATGGTGTTTCACATAACCTGAAAAGATTAGCAAAACATTGCAACGTGCGAGTAGTTTTCTTGGCACCTATCAGGCTAAACAGTCTTTGCAGAAAGACGAAACCGGAGCGCCCAAAGAAAGGTCTGTGCAAAAAGAACCACCGTATTAGGTTTTTCGCCTGCATCACAGGAGTCATCTACCGAATCCCATTAACGTGTGATGCATGCTATATAGGCCAAACTGGTAGATGCATCAATGATAGGCTTAATGAACACAAGAACAACGTGGCCAAGGCACAGCCTGAGGGTTTTCTTGCAATTGACTGCAAAGAATGTGGGTGCCAACCCCTCTTTAATCGGAAAAAGCACTAACCAAATGACAAGGCTCATCATAGAAGCGAAATTCATTGCTAAGTTTGGGGACGCATGTATAAGCAAGCCGTCGATAACATTATCATTGAAAGAATTGCATTAATTGGATGTTGCATGAGTTGCAGTAGATCACAGTTTTCTGGTTCTAGCACGTGGTTGTGACGCGCCATGTTTGGGTATAAGTATTGCTGTTTCTCGGATTAAACCGCAATTTTGAAAGTTAGCGCCGTGTGTGTGTTCTGCGTCTTCTTCTCTGTCCCGTCCTGGATGCGCTATACCTCGAACAACTTAACAGACAGCCGACGTTTGGTGGAGTGCTGGGATGTCATCGGCAGCAGACTTCACTGGCCCCCAGACAGGGTCGGCAGCACGAAATGCGCTGCGGGTTACGTCGGCACTAGCTCGGCGAGGTGGCTCCGGCCACCATCGGCGGCCGAGTGAACGCCAACAGGGCAAGGTTTTTTTTGGCATTGCATAATTTGTTGCCAGACATGAGGGGTCAGTGTTGCCATACTGCGGCAAGATTTGGTGGAGAAATTTGCTCCTGTAATTGTGGCTTCTCCGTGAGAGTTTGGTGTCGTCCGCGGTACATTTCGCGAGTGCATGAGCAACGCTGGCCATTTTAATTAACGGAATAAACCGCACCTTGCAGACTTTGAGACGCATTCTCTTGCTGTTTGTGCTGCTGTGCAACTAAGAGGTGGTTTTAATTAACGGAATGAACTGCGCCTTGCAGAAGCCTGGGCGTGATCTATTGCTGTGTGCGAAGCTGTGCAATTAAGAGATCGTGTCTCAGTATTAGGGACGACGGGGAAAACTGAATAGAGTCGCAGCAGGTAATGCGCTGCCCCCCCCCCCCCCCCAACTAGCGGAAGCGCCGCGTCCCCGTCATGGCGTACGGTCGACCCCGCAGGATCAGCTGTGAAAAAAGGAAAAATGAAAGGGGGGGGGGGCAGTGCGCCACCTGCTGCTACTCTATTCAGTTTTCCCCACCGGAACGCGCCCTGGCTTCTACAAGGTGCGGTTCATTCCGTTAATTCAAATGGCCAGCGCCGCTCATGCACTCGCGAACAAGTTCATCGCACACGCACTCGCGAAATGCACAGCGGACGATGTGTCGTTGCTTCCCTAACCCTGAGACACGATCTCCTAATTGTACAGCAGCACACACAGCAAGAGAACACGTCCCAACGTCTGCAAGGCGCAGTTGATTTAGTTAATTAAAATGGCCACCGTGCCTTGCGGGGTTCGGCAAGGGTAGCTCATGCACTCGCGAAATGCACCGCGGACGACACTAAACCCTCCCAGAGAAGTTACAACGACAGAGGCATATTTTTCTGCCAAATTTGGCGGCCGTCTGGCGACAGCCACTCCTAAGTCCGGCAACTGACTTATGCAACAGGCTCTTCGATTTTCCACTTTTGGCTACCCAACTTTAGACAACTTTGGAGTTTGGAGTGCCTAACACTCGTCTAGAGATGTGCGCCGACTGGTCGGCGCGCCGCCGCCACCGACGTTTTTCATCGGCGCAATCGGCGCACCATTTATTCACCAGTACCGAATTTTCTCAGATTTGTCTTTTTCTTTTTCATCTTGATTTATAGCTTCGTTTGACATTTATGTAGCCAGTAAAAAACAGGCTTCTTAGTTATCTTCATCCAGCTTTAGAGACTGAGAGTACCACTATGAACAGCTGCACAAGTTCGGCGGCCGCTGCATGAAATGACATATTGGACAAATTGACAAAAAATAAATGTAACAGTTGCAGTAATGCATACACGCTGCCATCTGAGGCTTAAAATCAATTTTTGCTGGATTTCTATGTCATAATTAGCAATGATTATGGTCATACAACGTTGAATGTACTGGCCCAGCGTGTTGATGCGTGCGAGTTCACCGTAGCACGATTCGGATATTCATATGGATGCAAAACGGCATCATAATCAGTCCAAGATGGCAGCCTATGATCGTGCCCGAAACAGCGCGTATACACAGAAGAAATGAAATGGTAGCAGTGCAGCACGAATGCACCGCGTTAGGTAAAGAACTACACAAAGCCCCGAAGGATGAAATCGAAAGGGAGAAGTTTAATGGAGATTAGAAGCGTCGAGGCATAATACATGCTCGAACCTACTCAGGGTATATCATCACCTGTCCATGGTGTTAAAGTTGATAATTTTCGAGGATGACCACTCATATGCAGCGTCTCAACATGCTGCAGAAAATATATGATGCCTTTTAATTCAGGCATCAGATATCCGGTATGAAGATGCCAAGGCAGTAAGACGGCAAGAGAGAGAAAGGAAGGCTGGGGGATTAATCAGATCTTGGCATCCGGTTTGCTGCCCAGCACTGGGGGTGGAGAAATAGGGGCAAGAAAGGGGGTGTAGAGAGATAGAAAAGAAAACGCATGTGGACTCAGGAGTAGGATGGCAAACTTAACAGAGGATTTATTACATTCTGTACAGACAGGGCGAGGGATCTCTTGCGAATGAGCTGGGTGGCTCACTATAAAGTGTGCGTTTTGACTAAATCAGGGAATGGGTCCAGAATGCGCTGTTTAATCACGGGGGACACACACCATTTCTGATGGTGCCGCTCACACTTGCTCAAGTCAACGTCTTTGATTGGGGCGTGGACACCACACTGCACATGTGGCACCAAGAAACCACTGTGGTCGTCACGTCGAACGTCTTGTGGTGTCGGAATGCCACCTCACTTCCCGGCTAAAATGGACAAAACACGGCAGACAGCAAGCTGGCAGCCCTTCGGTGACTTGTTTGACGAACAAAGAACGCCGCTCTCCCCCGTCGGCCCAGGCGCCGCGTGTAACAACGCTATTCAGTGGTGAGCAGAGGCGTATTAAGCTTGTCTGAAGTCACCAGTTTTAAAAAGAACAAAATAAAATTTTAAAAAACTTCCCAGCAAAAAGTTTACAAAAGACGGCTGGATTCGTCAATAATGCGGAGACAGACACTTGAGCGACATGTCATATATGACGTAGACCAGCATACATGTTTTCTTCACCTAACTTGAACGGACCTACTGGCACTGTGAAATATGAATAATAATTGTTGTGGACAGTGGTGATATACTTCTGTTGTGAAGGTAATGCTTAGAATTAACCAAATAAATCTTAACTTTATATTAAGGTCTTCATAAAAAAGATTGTCAAGTCAGAAAGCTCCTCAGGTGGCTAAGTAATAAATTACTTCACCACACTTTATGTGAAGTAATTGGCAAATAAATAATGCAACCTCTGTTTAATTGATATTCAATGACGTGACTGCAATCAACGGTGTGTCGTCGCAATAAAACTGGAACGTTATCTGCGGACACGAGCGGGCGAATGCAGCGGAGAACGAATATACCACGTAATAAAAGCGATGTGATGTCGCACATATTCGCCTGTACAACTCCGTGCCCTTTTGCTTGCTCAAGATGTATTCGAAGGAGCTAGCCAAGTCTCGGGTAGAAGTCGAGCAGAGTAGCCGGGGCTGATAAGAGGAACGTTTGTATACACTATTTACACACCAAAGGTAGCTATATGTTGATGGTAGCATCATGGAAGCGTGATGGGAGCTTCTCAGGGATGGTTCAGAGCGTCTCGATGCTCACGCTT